GAAGTCCCACTAGCATTGCTTTGTGGAAAGACTAGACTTAGTGATGGTTCATTGAGCTGAAGCATATTCAGGCAGTGCTTGATCTTGAAGATGTTCTAAACAATTGGTCATTATGGCTAATTTTGCTTCTGCAGAAAGGTCACGGCCTGCCATGATGACTCCTAGTACAAAAAATTAATAGTTGTAGCCGAGTTAGTTACACCTGCGATTGGGTCTGCTTGTACAGCAGAATAGCAGAGTCAGCTGATGTTCCGCACTCAGGCTGACTTGGCACTCTGATGCATGCTGAGGCTAGGTGACTGAGACAAGGTCCACTTAGGGCCACTCAACATGACTAAACTCACACTTGACTCAGGGTCATTCATGCCAAGAATCATGGTGCCTTGCAGTGAACACAGTCAGAGCTCAGGCAGGGCTTTCAACCAAGAATCTAGGAAGGCTACAGTACAAGTAGCCATGTGTGTCATGCAGTGTTGCTTGCCTATGAGTCACCACCATTGCTATGCCCCACACTGACCGTGTCATAGGGTGATCTCTTGTGTGGAGCTGCTTACACTGGTGTGCCGTGGAGACTGTCAGAGTTCCAGTTCAGAACAGTGACTGGAGTTAGTATGGGACTTGACTGAGAGTTTTCATGGTGATGCTCCACTAACTTTACTCTAGTGACTGGGCACCATGCTCAAGTTCTAATATCCCACCACCACAAGTACTGGGCGCTCTGCTAAAGTTAGTACTAACATCCCGAAGCAGTAGTGGCTATGTCTGAGGAGATTGCGACTTTGCTATGGCACTGCTAGTTTGTGCGGACGGACTAGCGGAAATGCCTGAGATCATGGGTTTTCAGTTCCAGTTGTTGACATTGAACTGACTGTGTGGAGTATAGAGTGCTGGAAGTCAGCAGAAATGGTTGTGTTGCGGTGACTGCGGGTGTAACGTGTTGTGTCTATGGTTGGATGCTGCTGAGAGTGCTTTGCCACTGCAGCAGTAGCTAGTGTTCTGCATGCGCAGGCACGGTGCATGGAGATACGTCCATTACACACCAACAACAGCAAAGACACACACACACACACACACACACGCACCATATACCCACAGGGCTAGGAAAATTGGATGTCAGAAGTTAATGATGTGCTGGCATCATAGACATAATGTCTAAGCAGGCGTGACAGGCACTCAGGAAAGGCTCTCCATTCACTACCTCTTGTACCATCATGCAGATGTACCCATCTGCTGATGCTGGGTTTGGCTGTAGTCAGTGCATCTACTTATTGTTCTATGGTGTAGTGATCTATGGTGTAGTGATCAAGTGGGGGGCACAGACCCTATCAGCCAGGAAACAGTCATTGTGAAGCAGGAACTTGCTCTTGGCGATGAGTGGGTTTTGGACTTCCGACTCTGCGGCGGTTTTGTGTTTCGATGGATGGGCCATGCTGTAGGGTGAGATGATAGCTGTGTGTTGGTTTGGCAGTGCTGATGCTATCAGTTCTGACCTTCGGAGTTTATCATATTTTGTATGAAAACCTGTCCAGCCTGCCTGCTTACTAATATACCAGGAGGCGAAACTGCAGATATGCCAGGCATGACCTCATTCGATTCAAACTATAATTATATCATGTATGCAGATTAAACTCGGATGGAGAGCCAAGGATAACAACAATTAAAAAAAAGAGGACCAAAGGTTTAAATTATCGTGTATATTAAACTTTCGTGGCCATCTAGAGTTGATACTTGTAGTCCAGACACGATAGTGTGTGTAATGTAGGTGGGGAGATAAGCCTGGACGTCCGTGGGTGAAAACGAATTCTTTCGTGACGAAAAACGCAAAAGCTCCGGTTTGGTCTTTATCGCGTTTTGAATTGGAGCCCTTCAAATGTAAATGTACGTGCACTGTCTGCGGGTGGATTCTGCAGACACAGGACACGGGGCGGCTAGGTGTGTAGTTTGCAGGCTATTCATCATGCTAATCCCTGTTAGGCATATATGTGTGTGTGCACTGGACCAGTGCACACACACACACACGGCAATGTGACACAATGCCAGGCCTGGACTACAGCATGTGGTCACGCTGCATGTCACTGCAGCCTGTCATCACGCACAGCACAGACAGAGAGAGAGAGAGAGAGAGATAGAGAGAGAGAGAGCTGTGCCTGTGCGTACACAACTCTGACACATCCCTGCTGGCTGCATGGACGCCTCCGGACGCTAGCAACATGGTGGACAGGCGCACACGCGTGCTCTCCTTTCCTCTCTGAAGTGTACGCACGTATAAAAGCGTTGGCAGCCATGCAGTGTGCGTACTGGAATCTGTTACCAAAAATACACCTGCTGCAAGACAGCTAACTCGGCATGTTGACGACATGAGGTTTGTGTGTGTGTGTGTGTGCCATGTGTGTTCAAAGTTCGAACACCGCTCTTTGGGACCGTATTTGGTCAAGTCCCGTTCTGTCAGTGGCATGCCATGTGACCATAGAGCTGTCAGCCTATAGCTTGACGCCAAACATTGCCGCCCGCCTGTCTTGTGAAGAAACGCGCGACATCGTCACGATATGTGTCTGTAAAGATGGCGTCTCGCAAGTGTTTGTGTATAGCGGGGGGGGGGGGGGGGATTCGTAGTTTCGTTGTAAGGGTGTCGCGTTCGAATGAATTTGCTCTTTGTTGTTCACTGGAATGGGGTTTATGCATAAAACATGGCCGCCACCTTCCTGAGGGGCAACTTGTCACATATTTGGCAGGTACAGCCAGTTGTAGTACATTTGTGGGTATGATCGCACACAGTTGATGACCTTTGATGCAGGATTGGTATCACAGTGTGTACCGTTGTAGTGGACTTGCCCCTCAAGATCGAATGGCGGGAGTATTATGCATAAACTTGCCAATATTATTGTATCTGGAGTGGCCTAGGGTCCGATATCACTCTACTTTCCCCTGTCTGTTCTAATAGATATGCCCTGGTAGTTAATTTCTAGGCCCTGAAATACCGCTCTGTCGTCCGTTGGCGGTAACTAAACGTGCTTTTATTAGGGGCTAAACAGTCGGAATTCGCAGTACTCATTCGTTGGCATATTATGACAACAGAATTATTACGTCTGTTGCCGCCTTGAGGGAAATTGATCACCTCGAAAAGCAATGCTGACAGCGTATATTGGTTTGTCCTTATCTGCAAAAGAGAGAGAGCGTACATGATATCAACACTACTTTACAGATCTCACCGAGTACCTTGATGGGTTGACCGTTCTTCAGCCTGCCGAAAATGAACTAGGCATATTTCGATAATTATCCACTGGCCAATGTAGGTGGCTAGTTTGATTAGCACCGGCAATGTTCCCTCCTCTAGCTCTCGACTTCAAGCCGTGAAAGCCACCCCCTAAGGCAGCTTACCGTAGAGTCGAACTGTGATACCGCCCATGTGTAACAGGCCTTATCGTGTACAGGCCTTCAACAGCCTCTCACTCTCTATCTCTCTTCGTCCCTATCTGTATCAATACAAGGACTGCGGGATTCAATTAGGTGATAGTTGTCTCTAACCAGTTTAGTTGGTGGCGAGGCACGCAGGGGAGGCGGTCTTGGTATAACGCCTGGTCACCCAATGCTGTCGGTCTCTCAGACACTTGAGTAAACTAATTACTATACTAGATCTAGAGCAAATATCTCAGTGGCCTTGTCTCTAAGGGAACCGCGGTGTTAAAAAAAACTTTTTTCTTTCTTTTTGCACATTGTAACGGTGTGAACCCTGTGTAAGTGTTTCGGCTTGTGGAAAGCAGAGCTGCGTGAGACGTTGCACCTCAGAATATAACGACTTGAGTAGGTTTGACATACTAGTGTATATGTTACTCTCAGGAGACAAATTTGTTCCGTAGATTCCACGTGTTTGCTTGTGTCCAGAGCTTGTCGGGGAGGAGGGGTTGCTTTGTCCAAGCCCGTCACCAGGCAAAGTTGCTATTGCCATCAGGGCTACGTTCTGGGTCTAGTTGTGTGTGGGTTTCCGTAGTGTAGTGGTTATCACGTGTGCTTCACACGCACAAGGTCCTCGGTTCGAACCCGAGCGGAAACATTTTTTTCTTCTTTTCAGCAATCAATATAATTTACTCCACACTCCCTCAAATTCAGCTTGATCATTACATGGTTTTGCTTCCCTCATTGACAAGAGTTGTGTTTCTTTTCAATCATCTTTTGTGGAAGTGTGAGTTTTCCATCATGTTTGGTCTCTCAAACCTTGTCCATCCTGATCAGTAATATGTGTTGGAAGATCATTGTTTTGAAGAAAAGTTGGAAAGAAGCTAAGAAGCTTGAGCATCTGCTCTGCATTGTGAGTTGATTGACATAGTCAGTGTGTTTGTAGAGACCCCCTGGTAGGGCACTGTGATGTAGCCAGCATTTCTTTCCGTTTTCCCAGTTAGGGCACCTGTGCTGGGTTGGTTCTTTCCCGCTGGCAAAGCATCCTATCCTTTTTCTGTGAAAGCCCCTCAAGAAACCGATATCCCACAAGTGTCCCCATACTAGATTATATCAAATTCCGCCACATTCTCCGTCACCTGCTGTATAGGGTAATGGTATTCACGTGAGCTTTTAGTGCATAACTTTGCAGGTTCGAGACCTGCGGGATGCTTTTTTTTCTTTCTTTTTTTTTCTTCATTTCTGGCAATCTTCAAGCCCACATGCAAAGCGCAGTTGGAGGTTCAAACCCCACTTGAGCTGAACCCCCATTGCGATTCTTTTTTTTTCTTAGATTAGCTCGAACAGCATCCAAGGAATGCCTGTCTCCTTGTGTTTGCTAATTTCTCAGCGCACCATACCAGTACTTCACTTTAGGTTTTTTTTTATAGGTATGTGTGTGTGTAATGTGTTCAACAGCTCTTGTTGATAACTGTGAACACAAGAGTGGGTCTGAAGACAGAGATGTTAACAAAATTGTTTTTTTTTGGGATACATGTGTTTGTCATCAGTATTGCCTCTTTGAGACACATGCCTGCTACTGTACCGGAAGAGGGAACAAGCAGTACATGGTGGCAAGGGGGTAGGGGGGAGTAGTGGCTGCATACTACATGTACTACTAGTAGCCAGTACATATACTGGTGTGTAGCAATGCAAGAGTCTGACTCTCATTTATTTATTTATTTATTTTATTCCAAGCAATACATGGCTGGGGTAGCCAATGATCACTTTGCGTGGTGATTGCAGGGTTTTTATAGCCAACCACGGCTATGCGGGCGCCTGGACCTTTCAAAGGTGCTCACCAACTGACCTTTAAATCAGGTACAAATTCCTTTCACATCTGAAAGCCCCGCTGTAGCCAGTGATTCTTCGCCTGCCAACCTTCCCCAAGTATCAACCTGTATGTATGTGGAGAAAAACTGGTACCTTGATAGCATGTGGGTGTTTCCGTAGTGTAGTGGTTATCACGTGTGCTTCACACGCACAAGGTCCTCGGTTCAAACCCGAGCGGAAACTTTTTTTTAACCCTTTTTCATGTAAGCACACACAGCTTCTCGTTTGCCCCCTCCCCTCACGTTTCGGAGTTTTTTTTATTGCTTACTCCTTCTGCCCCCCCCCCCCACGTTTAGGAGTATTGACTGTGTGTACTTTTGCCCCCCCCCCCCCCCCCCCCGCGTTTAGGAGTCTTGACTGTGTACTCCTTCGCCCCCTGTTTAGGAGTCTTGACTGCGTACTTTTGCTCCCCCCCCCCCCCCCATGTTTAGGAGTCTTGACTGCGTACTTTTGCTCCCCCCCCCCATGTTTAGGAGTCTTAAATGCGTACTTTTGCTCCCCCCCCCCCCCCATGTTTAGGAGTCTTGACTGCGTACTTTTGCTCCCCCCCCCCCCCCATGTTTAGGAGTCTTGACTGCGTACTTTTGCTCCCCCCCCCCCCCCCATGTTTAGGAGTCTTGACTGCGTACTTTTGCTCCCCCCCCCCCCCATGTTTAGGAGTCTTGACTGCGTACTTTTGCTCCCCCCCCCCATGTTTAGGGGTCTTGACTGCGTACTTTTGCTCCCCCCCCCCCCCCCTGTTTAGGACTTCTTGACTGCGTACTTTTGCTCCCCCCCCCCCCCCCATGTTTAGGAGTCTTGACTGCGTACTTTTGCTCCCCCCCCCCCCATGTTTAGGAGTCTTGACTGTGTACTTTTGCTTCCCCCCCCCCCCCCCCCATGTTTAGGAGTCTTGACCGTGAACGTTTCCCCCCCCCCCCCCCCCCATGTTTAGGAGTCTTGACTGTGTACTTTTGCCCCCCCCCCCCCCCCATGTATAGGAAGGAGTCTTGACTGTTTCCTCCCCCCATGCCTGAGTCTTGACTACTCCACACTCCCTCAAATTCAGCTTGATCCGTACATGGTTTTGCTTCCTTCATTGACAAGAGTTGTGTTTCTTTTCAATAATATTTTGTGGAAGTTTGGGTTTTCCATCACGTTTGGTCTCTCAAACCTTGTCCATCCTGATCAGTAATATGTGTTGGAAGATCATTGTTTTGAAGAAAAGTTGGAAAGAAGCTAGGAAGCCTGCTCTGTATTGTGAGTTGATTGACACAGTCAGTGTGTTTGTAGGGCACTGTGATGTAGCCAGCATTTCTTTCCGTTTTCCCAGTTAGGGCACCTGTGCTGGGTTGGTTCTTTCCTGCTGGCAAAGCATCCTGTATCCTTTGCTGTGAAAGCTCCTCAAGAAACCGATATCCCACAAGTATGCCCATACTAGATTAGATCAAATTCCGCCACATTTTCTATCACCTGCTGTATAGGGTAATGGTATTCACGTGAGCTTTTAGTGCATAACTTTGCAGGTTCGAGACCTGCGGGATGCTTTTTTTCTT